TGGGGCTACTGGGGACCCCAAGAGAACTTCAAGGTGATGAAACCTGATGGTGTTAACTGTCAACTTGAGAGGATCTTGAATGACTGATGAAACAAGCCTGTAGGCACACTCCTGGGGAATCATCTAGGTTAGGGTTAGCCTCTGTGCATGCCTGTGGCAAATTAACTTGCAGCTAATGGAGGTGGGAAGGCTCTTCCAACTGTGCCCAGGCTGCATTAAAAACTGAACACCAGCATGCATTCATCCTGATTTCTGATTGTGACTGTGATGTAACCAGTTGCTCCAAGCTCCTGTTACCTTGACTTCCCCATCATGATGGTCTGTACCTTGAACTGTGAGCTAAAGTACTCCAACTCCTTTAAGTTACTTTTTATCACAGGAACAAGAAAACAAACTAAGACAGGAAAGTAAATCTGATTCCCTATCAGAGCACTATGTACACTAAGCCTTTCCAGTCTGCAAGGAGTAGAAACAAATTAACTTATTCTTGTTTCTAGTTTAAGTATTATCTTCTCCTGTGAGAGCTACAAGAAGATCTTTGCTTTGATAATATTTTGGGTCTGGGAAGAGAATTTACATCATTTAAAATTTTATTGGTGTTTAGGGGGTTTAAAATAAATTTAAACCCATACGCTATAATTGGTGTTTTAATCGTTATTGTGTTATGAGGTTTATGATATTCAATTTCCTTTATAGCCATGAAGAGAATGTTTACTCCTATTGATGCTTAAACAGGAGACTCCCCAAAGACACACGCTAGCTTTCAGACTGCTCCTCTTCTAGCAGCTACTGAAATTGCAGCAGGGTAGTCTAGAGCTCACCCATGAGGGGCGCACACATGGAAACTGCTGATGCTCTCGTACCATGTTCCCAAAGTGAAACGTTAGAATCCATATGCAAACTTCACAGCACCAAGTTTTACTTTATTTAAGTTTATTTTATCTTCGAATGTTTTATAGTATGCTGGAGAACTGCAATACATACTTACATGCATATCTGGTGATGTGAAAATACTATTGCCTCATTTATTTGACTTTTTTTTAATTTGTCTTTTTGAGACAGGGTCTCCCTGTAGCCCCAGCTGTCCTGGAACTCACTATGTAGACCAGGCTGGCCTGGAACTCACAAAGATCCGCCTGCCTCTGCCTACCAGGTGCTGGGATTAAAGGCAAGCACCGCCACGCCTGGCTATTTGACAATTTTGTAACATTTGGTTTAGGGACTTGGAAAAGGATGCCTATAAAGAGAGTTTTAGAAAACGATGAGTTCCTTGAATTTTATAAATAGTAAATAATTTATTAAGTGCAGCAGTATGGCTTTCCAGCTCCGCTGCAGGCTATCACTGAACAGCCTCGATGCTCACATTCCCACCCTACTTTGAGCTAACTCGAGCTTCCGTGGGAATCATGGTAAATAATCAAAATGTTTAGTAAAGGGCTAGGGAGATGGCTCAGTCGGAAAAATGTTTGCCTTGCAAGCATGAGGACCCGAGTGAGTTCAGTTCCCAGCATCCATGTCTAAAGAAAGAAAGATAACCTGGGTGTGGCAATACATGCCTGTAATCTCAATGCTGGGGACTCAGAGACAGGAGGATCCTAGGCTCCGTGGCCAGCCATTTCACTGAACTGGGGAGTTTCAGGTTCAGTGGGAGAGCTTATCTCAAAAAATAAGATTTAGTATGATTGGGGAAGACATCCCACATTGACCTCTGGCCTCCACACACATATGCATACATGTGCATATACTTGTGCACACATGTGTGCATGCATGAACATACATATACACACAAATTTTTAACAGCTGATAATGACACAGAATGCACCAACTGACTAAAAACTGTATCTAGTCAACAAATGCAGCCAGCTCCAACAGTGTATGCGATCTCTTCTGTTAAGTCCTCTAAAATAAGATCAAGGCACCTCTCCAATTAAAGATTTTAAAAGGGTTTCCCCAACCAAACCCTTACCCTGCACAGAAACACTGGCCTCTGGCTTCCTCTTCAGCACTCTTTCCTTGCCCTGTTACGCATCAGCCACACAGCGAGACCCTGGAATAAGCCAAGTCTGTTGTCAGGCTCAGTGCCTTTATTCTCTGTGGCTCTTTGCATGGTTAGCTTTTTTTTTCTTTTTTTCAGAATTTCATTTCAAATGTTAGCCACCTATTCTAAAGCAACTATCTCCCCCTCAAATGCCGTCACAGTGCTAATCACTATCTGAAAACTCCACATTTCTGTATTTGTTACCAAGGTTGTGAACTTGGGGACATTGTGGCTATCAGGCTTACATTCAGCATGTAGACACAACAGTAAATGCTATTCTCAACACATTAAATACGTCCTTATGTTTACCTATTTATTTATGATTCTGGGACTTCAACGTGGGTTCTCGCCCATGCTAGGCAAGTGCTCTACCTCTGAGCTAATTTCCCAGACTAGTCCTTAAAAATTATTATTGGACAAACCAATCTAAATAGACAATATAGTATAATAAACACAGAGAAGTGACGAGAAAAACAGATGTCCATCTAACTCTGGAAGAACTGCACACACCTAGAGGTATGTGCTTGAATTAAGTGATGAATAATCACCATGAGCAGCACCATCATTATCACTAATTATTAAGTACTTACTGATGCTCCAAAAGTGATACTATGCAATTTTTAATTCCTTTCTCTTAATCATTACATTGCTTCTAAAAGGAAATGCCATGTCTACTGGAGGCATTTCCTTTCTCATCTACATGATGAGAAAACTCATATCTGATAGTACTATTATCCATGTTTGCCCATGCCTCCAAAGTCCAAAACATAGACTTAGAGTAAGCAAAACAGAGGTGGGGACTGCACTTGGGGGATTATAAAGAAATCCAGATAACATGTACACGATCACACCAATATGATTTAGAATTATTCCTTTGATCCTTGGGACTTCTAGATTCTTAAACTTTCTGTTCCCAGTCTGCCCACTGTTACATAGCTCTGCTCCCCTCCAGCCTAGCACTACTTATGACAGAACTTTTAATCTTCTAATTCATGTCCTCCATATACCAAGATGGCCTGACATGCTTGCTAACAGAATCCAACCTTGGCTTCCCACGGACACTGGAGTACAATAGGAAAGGTTACAGAGGAAAGCTCCAGTCACAGTAGAGGGCCTTCTTCACCCCTTCAGTCTCCCATTTACAATAATTTATTGGAGATTCTTTTAGGTTTGATATGTGGATATTTGTTTTACTTATTTTATATGTAGATATTATTATCTGTGAAAAATTGTTATATCAAGTTAGAGTCAGAGTGTGAGCTCTGGCAGCCCTAACAAGTTAGACTCAGCCATTTAGTCCCAAAGGCCAATTAAAGAGACAAATTACAGAATAACACAGAGAAAAAAAGTTTATTCAGTGGCCACATTCACAAGAATAAATAAAAAGGCTCAGTGACACCCTCCTCCTTCAGGTCTATTGTCCATGGTATAGACATGAAGTTCTTGTCTTGTTGGTTAAAAGAGAGTCAGTGAAATGATTATAGTAAGAACATATTGTATTGGGTTCCATTTTTAAAATTTTTATTTTTATTTTATGTGCATGCACGTATTGTTTAAAAGAGAGTCAGTGAAATGATTATAGTAAGAACATATTGTATTGGGTTTCATTTTTAAAATTTTTATTTTTATTTTATGTGCATGGACGTATTGTCTATATGTAGGTAAATGCACCTGTGTCATGCAATGCCTGCAGAGGACAGAAGAGGCTGTTGGAGCCCCTGGAACTGGAGTTACAGACAGTTGCTAGCTGCCATGTGGGTACTGGGATTTGAACCTGGGTCTTCTGCAAGAACAATTAGTGTTCTTAACCACTGAGCCATCTCTCCAGGCCCTGTATTAGGTTTCTTAATCTCTACTACTATTATTTTGTACCTTGTCAAAAAAAGATGTTTACATGGACTTTGATCATTACTATCTGTTCCTTCTAGAAAGTGGTCTTCCATGACATACAAATTCTTCAACATAATATAATCCAGACTAGATGCACATTGATATGCAAGTTACCATAGGATTTACTTTCTTTTAAGGGGATTTCCCTTTTCTTTCCTGCTTTAGATTTAAAAAAAAAAAATCCCTTTACACCGTTTAGTTCCTTCTATGGTGAAATAAATTCTCTAGTAGCTTCTTGAGGAAAGATGTATGCTGGGTAAATATTTTGAAATCTTTGTAACTGAAAATCTTTGCTCCCCTACTTGACCAATTTGGCAGAATTTTAAGTAGAAATTATGTCCCTTTGAAACTTCACATTCTTTCTTCTTTGTGACCGCCCCCCTCCAAGCTTTTGGAATCTGTTCTTTGCCTCTTCCTTTCTACGGCCCTGAGAGTTCCTCATTTCTTGTGTACAGTTCTGCTTTTCAAACTTATTCCTGTTTGGCCTTCTTTTCCAGGTTTTTCCTCTTTACAGCTTCAATGTTATCCTCTATAGATAGTTTCCTTCAGTTTTGCTATTTTCTTTCTCATATCCAAGTACTCTTGTCCCTCCACACTGAATCCTGCTGTGGTTTCATCTGCTCCTTCCTTTCTTGGTGTACTGTGGGTGTTTTTTGAAGTTTACCCTGCACAATCTGTCTCCTTATATTCATACCTTTTTCTGCTGTTTAAGCTTCTTCCTTTCATAGTTTTTCACTGTCTTGGTCAAACTTTTCCGTTTTCTGGAGTTCCCTCGGCTTTCAGACTCCGAGGGCAGCACACGACCACCTCAAAGTGCAAAGCCAAAGAAAGTGATTGAGAGACTAAAACAGTGGTAGAGCTGAGCGTTATCTGAGTCGAAGACCGCCTCTGACAGCCCCGCTGCTGAGCCAGAGCTGGGAACTCTCCCAGGGATGGAGAGACACGATGGCCTCTTATCTATACTGCTGCCAGGCACTGCGACCCTCCTCCATCCCCGCAGCAGGCCCCGCCCCGAGGCCGTCAGGCCCCGCCCCAGACCGCAGGCCCCGCCCCTCCAGGCCCCGCCCCGGCACAGCAGGCCCCGCCCCAGGGTGCAGGCCGGTCTGTCCGAGGTGGCCCGCGGAGCGCTGGCCCAGCCGTCCTGCTGCAGGCATGTGGCGGCCGCAGTCCGGACACCCGCGTCTCCTCGCCCGCGCGCTGTGCGGCGTCCCGAGGCTCGCTGTCCTGCTGCTGCTGGCGCCGCGGCTCTGGGCCCGGGGCTGCCCGTGCTCGGAGCCTGCGCTCTGCAGCCCGATCCGCCACCGCCCGGACTTCGAGGTCAGCGACCCCCCACCCCCACCCCCGGGTCTGGTCGTCGTGACCGGGAGAGGGTAGAGTGCAGCCGGCCCTCAGGAGAGGCGGTGTGGTGCTAACTGCAGCTTCACCCCTCCGAGCAGCTCCCTGTTTACAGACTGAGGGCAGGTTCAGCAACTTCCGGGCTCAGTGAGCACCAGCTGGAGCAGCCAAGTTCTCCTGCATCTCAATCCCAAAGCCAGCTCCTTTCAGATCCCCGTCCGCCTCCAGCGGGTAAGGTCGGGAACCTGTTCTTGATTTCCAAGGCAATGAGGATTTAGTATTAAAGAATCTCAGCACCCAGAACTCCCGAAAGCACAGTATTCTGCTGACCTTAACTTTTCATACCCTGACACCCACCCAGGAGGGTGGTAAAGCGGGTATTTCAGTACATTTTTTCCTTTACCCAGCCTCAGCGGTAAAAACACATGACTGGAGTTTGATGACCATAGCAGGAATTGGATGGATAGAGAGACGTTAGAGGATTGAGTCTAAAAAAAATTCCTTTGCACAATGAAGGAACAATTTCTAGGTCTTAATCTTGTAGGTTAGTTTTGAGGCAGAGGCATTTAAATGTCTTTTCTTAAAGTATGCATACGTTATTTAGAAGAAATCAGCGGAAGTGGATTTGGAGAATCTGCCCAGTGTGGAAACCTAAAGTCTTTTTAAAAGGAAAAAAAGTTGCTTTGAGCAAAGAACAATTCATAGTCATTGTCAGCACTCAAATTGCAAAAAGCTCTGAGCTCCAAGTCCCGAGGAGTGAGTCTTTTACCGACTGAATCTGGAAGCGAAGTAATTCTTGGCTGTGATAGGTGTTTGTCTTTTTGTGATCTGGCAGAAAGTCCCTACCTAGACTTTAGTTGGTTCTCATTAACCTGTTCTGAGTTCAAGGCACTCAGCTGTCTCAGTACAAAGCCTTCCTAGTTAAGTGGTTTTGTAGCAATCTGATTTGTTGTGGCACTCAGTACTTAGTAGGTTATGTTGTATTTGTGGGCATTTTGAATTATACAAAGAAGCAAAATTATGCTCATTTATCTAGTAATAGCAAATGGGTTCTTTACTGGCCTTTTCCATTTCTGAAACTAGATTATTGCACTACATATATTTGGGGGAGGGATGCTGAGGACTGAATTGTGCTTTAGGGTGATAAACGCCACTCTACACCTCACCACACCCAACCCCTCCCTTTCCTTTGTATTTTCAATAGATCTACTTAAGTTTGGGGGCAGGTACTAGTATATCCAGGCTCGAATTGTTTTTTAAAACAACTTGAATCTTAATTACCAGAATTAAGATTGGGATAAGGTTTGACAGAAAATGAATCCAAGACAATGCGCCATTCAGTTTCACGTTCTGTGTTACTGAAGTACACGGGATCATTGCGTAGCAGAAAACTGAGTTACGGTTAATTCTGGGTGGGAAGATGAAGAAATGTCTGCTTTTATGGTTGGTGGTCCCTACTGTCCTTCCTCCTCCATTCTTCTCCCTGCGGTCCCCCACACCTCTGTTTTTAGAGCAGTTACCCCTGCTTGAAAGGCTGATGGAGTCCCATGGATCTCCAGATAAAGTTCATATTCTTACTGGTCTACAAAGAGTGCCACCAGCTACCTTATTAGTATTATGGAATTCCATACCCTCAGGATTTCTGTGCTCTAGCTACGTTCTGTTCCATCCGGAATCCCAGAATTCTGAGTTGTAGGGAGCTTCGGGCTTTGTGCTCATCTGCGAATGCTCTTTTGTCTGTAGGTACCAGTCTTCCTTTGTCATCTCACAGACTGCAGTCCTGGAGATGCTTTCTTGCCCCACCTGGCCAGCAGATGTGCTTTACATCCTGTCACACCCCCCTGCATTCCCTTGCAGTCCTTAATGTTACTGTAATTACCTACCTAGTGGACCTTGTTATCTTTGTTAACCCTTGTGCCCCTAATACTTAGCAAAATACTCCTCCTCGATCTTACTAGAATTCAATATATGCTTAATCAATAAATTAACACATCGGGATAGAAGGAACGTGACCATTGAGGCTTTTGTGCTTCTGGAATTATCTTTGAGGAAAAAATGCTGGAGAGGCATTAGCTGCTTTAAAATTGGACTTGAATACTATTCTAAGTGGGCTGCATTAAAAAAAAAAGTATATAGTAACTGATGTACTATCTGGCTGCTTTTGAAACAGCCAGAAGCTCGAATATCATTAAACCCCTTTCTCTTAGTTATTCGCCACAAAACCCCAATTTTACCATTTTCGGAGCTCCCTGATCTGCTCACTCGTTTTTTCTTTTTTCTTTTTGTCTTTTTGAAGCAGGGTCTCCCTGTAGCCCCAGCTGCCCTGGAACTCACTATGTAGACCAGGCTAGCCTTGAACTCACAGAGATCCACCTGCCTCTGCCTTCCAAGTGCTGGGACTACAGACATGCACCACCATGCCCCACTCACTAGATTTCATGGACATCGCTGTTCTAGTCATCGACCAGCTCCCTGCTCTGACTCATTTGAGCCCCTCTTCAGTCCCTCTCAGAGGGTTTTTCTAGAATGCATACCTTCTCCATTTAAAAATGTTTTTGCCTTTCTTCCTCATCACAATGAAGGATGGAATGCAGGTAAAAGGATGTGTAAATCATGAAACTATGAAGCTAATTGGTTTTGGAGTTTCTTCTCTGTGTTTTTCATCTGTGTGTATTGGATAAATATATAAAAGGTAACTGAGAGTGAATGTGTAAAACCCACTTAAGGGTTATGGAGCTCCATGGCTTCAGAACGGCCATTCCCCGTGTATAGAAGGTCACTGAGATGCACAGAATTTGGTACTGGGCAACTGTTTTTGGTGGCTCCCTTAATCTAGCTCTGTAATGCTTTTGTGAGCTCATTACAATAAAGTGATTTCATTTAAAAATTTAAAAAAGCTTTTGTTCTCTCCATTTCCCTCAGGATAAAATTTTAACTTCTCAAGGGGGCCGATACATAGTTTTGTTTTTTTTCTTCATGATCTACCCCAGATTAACCATTTTTTGGTTCTTTTCTACACTTTCTCTAAATTTTAGGTGTTAGCCATACTAAAGATTTAGTTACACAGAGACTGTGTTTTCTGCCCTCAGGCCCTGGCACTAGCCACTGTGTCTGCCAGTGATTATATTCAAAACCTTACGTCTTATTCATTCTTGTACCCTCAATGCCCACTACAGTGTCTGGCATATGGCGATGGTTAATTTATTTGGGATGTCAGCATGATACTGTTTTAACTGCTGATGCTTATCCCTGTTGACCCGATAGGTCTTTGTATTTGATGTTGGACAGAAAACTTGGAAATTTTATGACTGGTCACAGATTACAACTGTGGCAGTTTTTGGAAAATATGACTCAGAACTGATGTGCTACGCTCATTCACAAGGAGCCAGAGCAGTGCTGAAAGGTATGTTTTTAGCAGATAGCTATGTCTGATCAGTTGGTAGTTGTTATCATTTGCTTTAGACCTTACTGTTTTGGAGTCAATTTTTCAAGGCCTAACATTAGTCTTAGATGCTATTAACTCTATTTCACAAATACATATATTTTTAAGGAATTAAACCACTTCTGGTTCTGAGTGATTGCCTAATTAGCACACTGACCTTTAGTCATAGTCTACAAGTTCTGCTTCTAATTTGAGAATGATTTCACTCATAGGAAGTAACTACATTGGAGATTAGTGCACAATAATTTTCAGTTCTTTTGGCATATTTCTCCACATGGTAAACAAATTAGAGGCTTAATATTCCAAAATAATGAGGTATGTTTTAAAGACATTTTGATCCTTTTGGGAATTGGTTTATGAAGTAACTGGCATTTAACTATGAAAAGCATATGCATGCCTCATTTCCGCTTTTTCCACAGGAGATGTGTCCCTAAAGGAAATCACTGATCCTACTTTCAGGGCATCCTGGATAGCTGACAAGCTTGATTTGGCCAAAACTCAATATATGGATGGAATTAATATAGACATAGAGCAAGAAGTTAATTGTTTATCCCCTGAATATCAGGCACTGACAGCTTTGGTCAAAGAAACCACAGAAGTCTTCCACCGTGAGATTGAAGGATCGCAGGTAAATAAATATTCGTGGTCTTTGAATCAAAATATAGTCACAAAGGCATGATGAATGCTATTTTAGTTTTATAGGATTGGATGGGAAAGAATTTCTGTACATATTTTCTAAAACATATTTTCTAGAATTTTAATGTTAGGAAATTTCAAGGTTATCAGCTTCTAGTCCCATCAAAATACAACACTGGGATTGCTCTGCCTACTTCCCTGCAGTATTAGATAGGCAATGGGGTAGCAAGAACTCAGGATGGCCTAAACTGGCTTTTTACCAGTGTAGGACAGAAGCAGCTAGTACCTAAGAATGGAGATACTTCTGAAGAATTGTCTCACCTGCTCTGTAGTCTCTGAGTTATCTGCGAAGCACTCAAGGTCCACGGCAACTCTAAATTCCATAGAGCCTGTTAGAACTGTGACAGTGGGCATGGTGCTTTCCTACTGCCATGAACATGATCAGAGCAGATCAGAGCACAAGGCACCTTGCCACACAATGTGTAAGTAACAAAGGACAGTGTGGTTCCAGAGCACTGATTCTTAAACCAGGTTACACATCAAGATAACCCAGGGTCTTAAAAGAGAATAAATGCTTGTGGACACACATATATGCACACTGTGGACTTACTTCCAGAAATTTACATGAAGTCCTTGGTTTGATACCAGTACTTGAAAAAAAATGATTACTTAGTAAATAAATGGTCTCTGCCTTTAAAAATTTTAAATCCTGCCAGATGTGGCAGTACATGTTTGAAACCTCAGCACTTAAGAAGTGGAGACAGGAAGACTGAGTTCAAGGTCAGTCTGAGCTACATAGTGAGATGCTGTCTCAACAAAGCCAATTTTTTTTTTCTTAAATCTACTTAAGGGACACACACACACACACACACACACACACACACACACACACACACACACAGAGTTTGTCTTTTGCATCCACTGAGACTGGTTCCAGGATCCTGTGTGGATACCAATATCTGCAGATGCTGATGCTAAAGTCCTATACATAAAATGATATAGTATTTGCATATAACCTATGCATACATGCCTATATTTTTTAAGTCATCTCTGTATTATATATACCTGATACAATGTAAACGCTGTTATTTTGTATTATTGAGGAGAGAAGGATAAGAACAATGTCTATGCATGTTCAGCATAGACAATTAAAAAAATTTATCTGTGTTTGGTGGAATCCTTGGATGCAGAACCCACCAATATATAATGAAAATATTCCGAGTCTATATTATATATGTGAATATACATCCAAGATAGAGCAGTGCAGGTACTATAAACAACAATTCCCACAGGATCATGTGAGAGTGCTTACTTACAATTTCTTGACATTGATCAGCAGCTGCTTCTGGACTTGAGCCTGAGGAACTATATTTTTACCAAGTGTGTTATGTGATTCTGGTGTAGTTGGTTATCATGAATTTCAGACTCATTGGTAAAATACTAAATGATGCCAGATGTGGTGGCGCATGCCTTTAGTCCCAGCACTTGGGAGGCAGAGACAGGCAGATCTTTGTGAGTTCAAGGCCAGTCTGGTCTACATAGTGAGTTCAGGTCAGCTGGGACTACAAGCAGACCCTGTCTCAAAAAGACAAAAAAAAAAAAAAATTAAATGACTTAACTAATATACCTATGGTTTTATTCATCTAAGAAGGAAATTTGAAGTTTACATTTGGATGATGGCATAACCCTTGCGCTCAGGAAATATTCAATAAATGTTCTAAGTGTGGAATTCAAGTTTTCAGTATAGATTGACAGTAACAAACACCTGGCATGCAGGGCACCACATCCATCTCAAGTTTTGGTCTCAGAAATTCTATTTTCCTTCATTCTCTGTTACTAGAAACTAATTAGCATGTGTAAAACATTGTTTGCCAATCCTGATAAAACTACAGTGGAAGGGCAAGATCAAAGAGATTGAGCCAAACCTTGCATAGAATATCAATGTCCATGTTTGAGGTAGAGGACAAATTTCTATTAGGTGAATATATTACATAAAGTTTATATTAGGTGAGTTCATGGGAATATAGTTGCAAAGGTAGGCTGGATTGTGGAATATTCTGGGAAGAATACGCTTATTCTGTATATAATGGATTTGTTAGAAGAGTACTCTGCAGTATTATGAAAATGTACAGGAGAAAGGAGGACTAGCAAGCAGCAACCATCTACTGCTAGAGATTACAGCTTAGAGTGGGAGGACAGCATAACTCTTACATAACTCAGAAAACGTCCAATAAGTAATGTTGAGTGAATTAAAGTGTTTTTACATTTAGTGTGTGTGCACACGTGCGTATGTGCCCATGTTCGACATGGCATGTATATAGCATGGTGTATGTGTGTGTGTGGAGGTCAGAAGACAACTTTGTGGAGTCGATTGTCTCCTTCTATGATGTAGGTTCTAGGGATTGAACTCAGGTCTCCAGGCTCAGTGGCATGTGCCTTTACCCTGAGCCATTTACCATCCTTGAATGAATTAATGAAAAGGAGTATTTTAAAATGTGTGTATCATTTGTACAGGATTAATCTTGAAATAATACTTGAAAACTTCATAATAAAAAACAGGAAGGAACAGAACTGTGAAAAACCACTCAAATGAAAGAAAAGGAGTCATGAGACAGCTCAAAGTTTCCTAAACTGGTGATTAGGAAATGACAATTTCTAGAACAGAGAGCTTGGAGTGGGAAACTGAGTTTAGAGGAATGTTGATTTGAATTTACAATATTGTGGTCACAGGATTAAAGAGCTAGAAGAGCTAGAAATGCCTTGAAGAGTTCTTTCTATATCCCTGTTCTCATAGGTGGGAAGGTTGATTCAGATGCCTTATGTGACTTATCAGTGACAGAGATCAAGTTGTAATGGAGCTGATATAAAGTCCAAGAGGCCTGCTTTCTCGTCTTTTAATAATACCTTCTCAGAATATATAAGACATTCCCTGACAGGTGAGTCAAGTGAAAAGACTCTTAGTGTTCAAGGCAGATAAATAATACGACAGATTTGAAATGTAACTGCTTAGAGGTAGTCATTAATTCTATTACTGCAGTATACCTCCCATTTTGTAATAAGAGGCAGTGACAAAATGGGGTTCAGTATGTAAAAAGTTTACTTCATAACAATTTGTTGTAGAAATGTGAACACTCAAAATTACAGGGAGAACTTGGAGAAAGTCTGAAAGTTTTGCTAGGATAAATTAGCTAAAATACAAAGTTTTACATAGTGTCTCGTTTTATTAAGTGTCTACTGGGTACCTAGTTAAGTAAAAAACATTTGATGGAATTTTAGAACATTTCTACACTTTAAAATTCATTAATATTTAGTTAAGGTAGCAAACATATTTTAAAGAGATTCATCGTTGAAGTCTGAATCACCAAAATAAAAGATAATTTATCACTCGTTTCATTTGACTATTTCCAGAAAATAAGATCATTTAGATGATTGTTAAGGATTTTGAATTGATGAATCTTTATCTCTGAGTCATGAAGCATCATCATTCTCTGACTGTAACATCGGGACTCACAACTCCATCTGGTAGTACCAGCAAGCACCCTACGTAACCTGCACAGTACTTTAAAATCTTTTGTACTGGAATTCCTCATTGTGCCTTTACTCGCCACATGTTCAGGGCACCACCATGGTGTGTTATTAAACCTGCTTCTCTCGGCCAGGCGATCTTACCAGCCCAGCCTCTAAGAACATTTGGTTTGAAACTCGTTTCTGTAGTGTCCTGCTCTTGGTCACTGTATATTCAAAGACAGGTGTGGGCCAGTGAAATGTAGTAGCAAAATGTATTTCCATGTGTCAAATCCCATTTTTGTATACTGTAAGCAGTAGTTTTTTTCTTGGGTAGTATGAGGCAATAGAATATATGCTTAAAAACATCTGATACAATATGCATGTTTATCATGTTACATAAAATAATACGTTTTTTCACAGGTAACCTTTGATGTAGCTTGGTCCCCAAAGAGCATAGACAAAAGGTGCTATAATTATACTGGAATTGCAGATGCCTGTGACTTTCTCTTCGTGATGTCTTATGATGAACAGAGTCAGATCTGGTCGGAATGTATTGCAGCAGCCAATGCTCCCTATAATCAGACATTAACTGGTAAGAATCCAATTCATGACCATCTATTAGTGCTACTCATCCCAGAACCTCTGACACTACAGCACCCGTTAGTATTTATAAATTATTTATATATGCTATTTTAAAAGCTTTCTTTATAAATTTCAAAATGTATTATAGATATTATAAAAACAATAAAATGAATAAAAATAAACTTGGAGAGCTTTAGTATTTACAAAAAGTTTGAAATTTTCACTTAATTCTTTTAATAGCCTTATGGGATAGTTAATATTACCATTGACCCTATATTACAGATGAGAGAAAAGGAGTTAAATTCTCATGGTTATACAACTATTAAGCACTATATACCTGGGACTCAATGGGTATTCTAACTTCAAGTCTAACACTTTTGTCATGAAATCACATGAGAAAGGTATTTATTTAGAGTCTGACAAGATATTTTTATTAAAATAATATCACAGCAGTTAATGGGGAAACTCACCATTGGTCAAAGTGCGGGTAATAAGTGTCTGCGGGGTGCTCAGCCACAAATTGAAAATCTGTACCATACCACCTCCCCCCAAGTCTCAGGGACCATCATGAAGGAAGAGCAGAAAGATAGCAAGAGCCAGAGGTTGGGGAGGACTGGATAGAAAGTATCTTCTGGACATGACTGGACCACTGCACTCATGAATTCACAGAAGCTGTGGTTTTCTGAACAATATCTCCACAAGATCAAGCCAGCCAACATTCCAGCATGGAGTGGGATGGGGCTTGTGAGCCCCCATCCCTAGCTGAGCTACTGAGCTATTGACAGCTGATGCCTTCCAGGGGAGGTAGAGTCAGTTTTCTTTCCACATCTTAAAGAGTGAGGTCAACCACACTCCAGTGAATGGCCCCACACCCATGAGTATATGGGTAACACCAACCAGGGGCTCCTCCCAAGCCCACGTGACCCCTGAGGAACAGATCCTCAAACGACCTTAAGAGTAAAAATAAATCAGTTTATCTGGACCAACTGTATGGCCTTAAACACCCAAAAGGAAGGTATAACCAAAGATTAAAGGAGCCAATATAATTTCATAAGAGTCCATATGTATACCAAAATGCTACATAACAAGCAACAATGCCAACAGGTGATACCTTCTTTTGAGTTGTTGGCCAGGGTGGCCAAAGGGACTCCCAGATATTAACCCAGCATAAAACTGGGAAAATGAACAGCAGACCCCAATCTTATCCAAAGGAATATTGACAACTGATTGCCACTAGATGAGGAACCCCTGTCCCTCCTAAAACAAAGACCTCTAGATAGGCTGACTAGATTCACCAGAAGGGCAAGTAATGGGGAATGGCTGGGGGTGCCGACAACACAGCAGACAGTAGCAGGGATATGAGAGTATAAGGGCTGTAGTCGGGGGAGGGAGGCTATGGGGGGGTACTACCTGGGAAGTGGGTGTATAAATTAAAAAAAAAATAATGCTTCAGAGCATAAAAACTTGTTCCTTAATTAGTAGATGTGAAAAACATTGCCATTTAAATCTACCTGATGACTTTATATCCATGCTCAGATGCTAAGGAGCTCAGAAAGTAACCAACTGTGACTAATAATAATCAGATATATAGAGATCAGAAACGCATGTGCAAACATCTTAGTGTTAATTGCATTAAAAATGAATTTTTCTGTATGAAACTCTGTATTTAAAAATGGAAATGGAGATCTTTTTT